CCATTGTTTTGAACTCTGTATCTATTTGTTTTTTGTTTCCATTTCCTTTAGTTCTTTTTCTGGAGATTTCTTTCATTTGTGACATATTTCTTTGTCTCTGCATTTTGGCTGCGTCCCTGTATTTGTTTCTATGTATTAGGTAGATCTGCTATGTCTCCTAGACTTGGTAAGTATCTTCTAGGGCCCAGTGGCTCAGCCTCACCAGTTTCCTGAGCTGGGCACCCCAGCAGCACCCCTATATGAACTATGTGCACTGTCATAAGATAGGTGAGCCTTGATTTGTATTGGTATCATTGGGAGGGATTGACCCCCATGCCAATTGGTTGTGGTAATCAGCTGGGACTAGAGTTGAAGAGCTGCTGTGCAGAAGCCAACCCTATGGAACTGGACTTGGTTCAGTGGGGCTTTGGTGTTCATTGTGTCCACCCTGTCACTCGTGAAAGTGGTAGGGTTGTAATCTCGTGTGGTTGAAGTTGATCACCAGTTGCACTGCCTCTGGGCCCTCCCCGGAGGTGCAAAGTCAACCTCTGCCTGTGCCCTACCTGGGGCTACCCAGTATGAGCTACAAAGCAGTCTGTAGATGGCTGCTATTTATGTTGAGTTTGGAGGTGCCCAGGGGAGGCCAAGCTGTGAACCAAGGCGGGCTGTGGCGAATGCAGGGCCTGGGACCCCTTACTGAGAAGTACCTGGAATGCTGATGTCAGCTGCTACTTGTTTGAGAGATTTTAGGAAAATCCAAAGAAGAGGCAGGAGAGGCCAGTTATATGGAAAAGCCACTGGAAATGGCTTGGATGAGTCTGCAAGTAGGGAGGGTGTCTCAGGGATGACCAGGGTGGGTAAGAAGTGTAAGCCATGTTGAAGGAGATTCAGATATGGCCCAGCCTGTCAGCTCTATGATAGGGAGAGCTCCATTGGCCTCGCAGCACTTCTGTCTGGGAGAAAGCTACCCCTCCAGCTCTTGCCCTAATACCAGACAAGTTAGTTCCTCCCCAAATGTCCCAGGTTCCTTTCAAACTGCAGCTCCAGCACTGGAGCTCAGAGGGAGTGAGTCCAAGTAAGTCTGTGCGTGGGCCCTATAAGAGAAACTGCCTGGGACTCCCACCACCTTCATGTCACTCAACCATACTCCCTGCTCGTTTTTACAGCCAGAAGTTATGGGGACTTCTTTTCCCAGCTCTGGAACCCTAGGCTGGGGGCCTGATGTGGTCCAGCGACCCTGTATTCCTCAGGGAAACCTCCATGGCTAACATATCCCTCCTAATTTTAAACTGCCACACATGGGTGTGGGACCAGCCAGGTCCACAATTCTGCCCCTCCTACCAGACTTGATGTGCTTCTTCTTTAATTCCCTAGCTGTAGGACTTTCATTCAGCTAGATTTCAGGTGGTTCTGAATGATGGTTGTTGTGTGTGTTAGTTGTAAATTTCAATGTGGTTGTAGGAGGCGGGGAGTACCACATTTGCCTGGGCCACCATCTTTACTGGATGTCTCCATTAGCCCCCTTTTGTTGCTCTATCTTTTTCAGGATGTCAAAGATGATTATGTATTTGAATGTGAAGCTGGTAATCAGAAAACAAAGCTGACCATTTTGCAGTCACTTGGTGATCCACTTTACTATGGTAAAATTCAGCCATGTAAAGATGAAGAGATTGACAGCCAGATTTCTCCATCCCAGTGAGTTCTGTTAAATACATGTAATTAACAAAAACAATCATCAGAATTCATTTAGCAACTACTGATAAACCATTAATGAATAAAACTTCTCCCTTGGGGATTCATTTGTTACTTAAATACATTAGTTAGATTTGGCTTTCTAAATTTATGAACTACATATATTTAGTACAAGGTACCAGTATTTAGTTTTGTTTTTATTGGTTTTCTGTTTTAATCAAGTTGATAATGTTTCAAAAATAAGAAATAACAAAAAGGAGAAAAAAGCAGGGACCAGATCTGTGTTGAATTGTTTATAAAGTCTTTATGTACACAAAATACTAATTGAAACTACAGCAGAAAGATGGATTTTAAAGAATAACCTCACAAATATCTAATTCAGCAGTTTTCAACCTCTGGGTCACGACCCCTTTGGGGGTCGAACAACCCTTTCACAGGGATTGCCTAAGACCATTGGAAAACACATATATAATTACATATTGTTTTTGTGATTAATCACTATGCTTTAATTATGTTCAATTTGTAACAAATACAACCTGCATATCAGATATTTACATTACGATTCATAACAGTAGCAAAATTACAGTTATGAAGTAGCAACAAAAATAATTTCATGGTTGGGGTTCACCATAACATGAACTGTATTAAAGGGTCACGGCATTAGGAAGGTTGAGAACCACTGCTCTAAGTAAAAGTCGATGGGAGGAAACGGTAGGAGTCAGGAGTTCTCTGCTAATTTTTTTTACATTAGCAGTTTCTATTGTATACTAAGTTAGAAGGATCCGATATTTTTATTACCTTTATTTGTATAAATCTTCCCCTTAAAGATATATATTGGTCATTTTAAATCAATTTATAAACTTTTTTTTTTTTTGATTTTTTACAGAGAGGAAGGGAGAGGGATAGAGAGCTAGAAACATCAATGAGAGAGAAACGTCGATCAGCCGCCTCCTGCATGCTCCCCACCGGGGACGTGCCCACAACCAAGACACATGCCCTTGACCTGCATCGAACCCGGGAACCCTCAGTCCGAAGGCCGACGCTCTATCCACTGAGCCAAACCGGTCAGGGCAATTTATGAACTTTTTTTAAACACAAGGGAATAACATATATTCTTATTTTTAAAAATTAGTTAAGAACGCTATCCAATTAGATTTGGCAAGAAGAAAATAAAAATTTTTGTCTTTATATTAGGAAGTTGCTGCAAAAATGCTGTATGGTTTATTATCTTTCAGTCATTCTCCATACTCATAAATTATTTAATAACTATGAAGTTAAAGTTTGAGCTGCATTAACCATGTTTTTTTTTTTTTTTTTTTTTTTACATTTTGTATTTCAGCTCCTCCACAGAAGATCATTCAAATTGGTAATTAAAAAAAATAAACTCACTATTAAAATCTGTTAAGAAAACACATAAATGTCAAACTCTTTAAAGACGTAGCGAAGACATTTTTTTCTGAGTTGCCAGTAAACTACCTTCCGTGTCTAAAATATATTGTGTTCCTGCTATGTAGACTGATGACTTCTAAAACCATTGGTTACAATAATCAGCTGGGACTATAGCTGAAGAGCTGCTATAGGTTAAAGTGAAAAGAAGGCCTTGCACACAGTTCAGTGAATTTTGTTGTAGAACAGACACTTGTAGGGTTGTATAGCACTTGGTAACTTTCAGCCCAGATTATATTTTGATACTTAAGTTTTATGGCAAAATAAATCCTCCTTAAATTAAACCAGCCAAATTATTCACAATATTATTTATTTTGCAATGCCAAATTTTGCTATATATTTATTTTAAATTTGTTTCATATCTTGGTGTATTTTAATTTATTAAGTTACTGTCAGTAAAATATGGAAGCCTTCAAAAGTAATCCCAGTGCTCCCTAAGAGAACTCCTATCTAATACTTTTCTTTCTTTAAATATTTTAGGTTCATTATAGGATCAAAGACTGATGCTGAACGGTAAAAATACTAGCTTCTTTATTTTTGATCTAGATAGATATGAAAATCTTCCCTCTTAGAGGATAAAGAGTACTTCATTAAGAATCAGAAGTTTGATTTTAGTTATGCCATAGGTTTTACTAGCATTTAAAAAAATAGAATTAGGGAAGTAACAACTAAAAGAATAATGTTTAAAATAGAGCTTTAGTTTAAATAAAAAAATGTAGACATATCTATGGTAGGTAAGGAAGATGCTTTCTATGTAGCACTATAATCAGAATGTTAAGTGAAGGGGTAATTTTTTGACTGCTTATTGATTAAAAAATAACCCATGTAATTTCTGCATTTGAAATAAGATACTGCAAATATATTTTAAGATTGCTAATTTAAGTGCAAAAGATTTTGAGCATTACCTTCTCATTGAAAAGATTAAAAGCGTACTTTTAACAAAAAGGTAAACTGTCAAATTTTAATTTTTGTGTTAACTTGATGCAACTTTTTAATTAACACTTCTTATTTTCTACATAATAAATTTATGTTTAAAAGAGTTAAGTAATTCTTACTTGTTGTTTTTTTCTTTTTCTAATATTTTAGGGTAGTTTATCAGTACCAGGAATTGGTCCAGAATGAAGCCAAGTGTCCAGTCAAGATGTTGCACAGCTCCAGTGGCTCAGCCAGCATGAGTCAGCTTTCTCCAGGGAAAGAAACAGAAGTGTGTGTTTGTTTGCTTTTTTGTTTGTTTATTTTTTTATGAATTAAATCTTTATTGTTCAGATTATTACATTTGTTCTTCTTTTTTCCCCCCATAACTCCCTTCCACCCAGTTCCCACCCCACCCTCCTCCCTCACTCCCCCGCCCACTGTCCTCATCCATAGGTGCACGATTTTTGTCCAGTCTCTT